TACTGATGACCCATTTTACATGGCTGCTTCCTTGTTTATTCATGAGCAGAGCTCGAATGAAAAACCTTTCAGTGAAAATGGAAAGCATGTCTGCAGTAATATAATGCTTAATGTTGACTTCTATCCTCCCCAACCCCTTGAAAGGTAAGGAACAGTTTAGGTGGGGGTAAGGAAAGAGCATAGAAATCTTGAGATAAAGGGGAGAGTTTTCTAAGTTCTTAAGAAAACCTGACAGGTTATCCATAGATTCTATGTGTTCAATTAATGAATTTATGTAACCAGCATCAGAGTCTCTTTCAAATGCCCTGTACTTCTGTTATCAGTTTCCTCTTTCAACTATTTCCCTTCTATATCCTACTGTGGAATTTGCAAGGCTAGCTTTCCTTGCCTATGCCTATGAGGAAGTGGTCAAAATACTATGAGTTTTTGAATACCATCTTTCATCTGTATCTCGTTGGGGGGTGTGCGTGTGTGTATATATAGTTTTTAACAGAACAATAACAAATGTCTTAAAACCCTTTAATGTCTTTTTAAAATTCTATCTTTTGAGTAAATCCTGGGTAAATGACCATGAATAGTTTCTCATATTCATGGTCATTTACACAGCCACTCACTTTTAAAGTATTACATAAATACAGAAAATATTATCCAAAGGTACTTCACATTGAATAAATCTAGGATGCACTTAGTTCAAATATTCAGAAAGAGCTTTAATAACTGTTATTCATATGTATTCATTCTGTTGTAATTCAAGTATAAAAATATAACTTTGCTTAATTAGTAATTGGTTGGTAGCTGTCCACTCTCTGCAGAAGTGTATCTGAATATCCAGGAGAATAACACCTGAAAAAGAAAAATTTCTATTAGATACTTGTGCAAAGATTCAGCACAGTAGACACAAAAGATTCAATATAAGGTGTTTATCTGAAATAATTTTATGAATGAAACTTCATATACAATATGAATAATTATACTCCAGCAATTTTTTGTGCAAAGTGATAGAGACTACCAAGAAAGAGAATAACAACTCACAAGACTGTGCTAGATAAATAGCAAAACATTTAAGGGGTATTTTGAAAGCAAGGTCCAGTGATTCTATTTTATTACAAAAACTTTGTTTTTACTATGTCAAGTCACTGATATTGCTATCATGATCAGAGCTAATAGATTTTTTTATAAGTTATACAACACAGTCTATCATTACTAATCACCTTCTGCATTTTGATTGCCTTAGAGATTATTCTCAATGTATGTTTTAATCAGATTTGGTCACCCATAAAAATGAAATTTCTTGGAGTATAATTTATTTTAAAGAACTATTTTATTAATAGCTTACAAACATTCCATCTTACAATTTTAGGAAATTAATCATTTTTATTTGTTCTTGGGCATCTATAGTACTACAAATTTATATTTATAAATTGAACATTTTATGAAAGATTTAGTATAAAAAGATTAAATATATTGATTAATATATTGTGGGATGCATCATATACCATTGAAAGAATTAACATGCATATAAAAATATGTCAAATAAAGTTTGGCTGACATACTAGAACATAATAAATGAATAAAAAACTCTAAATAAGTATAATTAAAATTTTTCCAAAACACTTAAAATAATTAAGCCTCCTAAGGTGTTTTCTCCAGATAAAATCTGATGTTCAAGACTTGCTTTGTCCTTTGTTAGTTATCTTTATCTGCTCAGATGCTTGATTTAAAAACTCTTAATTTATAGTATACTAATTACTTCCACAATTTGTCAAGTTATAGTGGACAAAACAGAACTGTATTTTCTCAATAGTGTGCTTTTATAGGCAGTCATAGTTAAACAGATACACACACACACACACACACACACACATAAAAAGTTACCTGAAAGAATGTTTTTCTTCTACAGGCCTCCTACTCTGGAAAAAATTGCCCTCAACAGTGGATCTCTTCAAAGTATTCATCACTGAGAAATTCACAACTGTTAATCTTTCTGAGTTACTAACAAATTTTATAGTAGGTCTTACCTTCCTAGGCTGTAGGCCTTATAAATATGCCAGGTCAAAGATGGGTATTTTTTATGTAAATGACAAGAAGTACATTTTTTTAAAACCTAAACTTTAAAAATTATGATGTTTAATATGGTACCTACTAACCACCTGTGGCTATTCAGCACTAGAATTATGGCTAGGTTAATATGTCTGAGGAACTGAATTTTTCATATTTAATCTTAATAAAAAGTTATACCTGATTCAGTTGGAAATACTCTAGATGTGTTTGGAACAACTCGTGAATCTATAATATTTTTTCATCTGCAAACTTTATATACTCTAAATAAAGTATTTCTGATGAAATTTGGCATCTGAATTGAGATGTGCAGGAAGTGATACAATACCCACCAGATTTCAAAAACTTAGTATAAAAAAATACAGAATAGCTCAATAATTTTTATATTGATCCCAAGTTGAAATGTTAATATTTTAAATATATTGAGCTAACAAAAACATAGTATGAAAATGTATCCGATTTTATTTTACTTTTTTTAATGGGGCTATTAGAAAATTTAAAATTAACAATGTGACTCATTTTATATTTCTGTTGAATTGTGTTGCCTTAAAATTAGGTCCCAGTAGATAAATTAGGATCTACCAATAATTCTCGAAGCTTTACTGGCTAATTGCCAAGCTAACTGCCATTGTCATACCTCTCTCCTCAAGGACCTCGGAGACTCCACAATCTCCAGGATTCCCCACAGGGAAGGAAATGTGCTCAATACTTACACCCCACTACTGCTGTCCTGGACCCGTGTAGAATTTGGGCTATTATACAGTTACCATATCAGATGTGCCGAATGGAAGACTGTATGCATGCCTCCCTCTCCAAACTAGATGTTTCCTAAAAGCAACTTCCCCTGCCGTTTAGGCAGAGATCCAGAAGACAAAAGAGTTCCAAAAATAGCTCTGGCTGTGGAGGGGACCAGGACTAGAACTTGGGTTTTCTAATGTCTAGTCCTGGGCCCCTTCTCTCTCATCATACCAACTACATTTACTAGAAATTTTTTAAGATTGCTAAACTCGGAAGGCAATACGAAGTAAATGTTTAGGCTGATAACAGCTGAGATAATGTAACCATTGATAATCCATCTTATAAAGAATAATTAGCTTTAAAATATTCACCAAGTAATTCTTGAGAATTGTATGGTTGCAAAAATAAAGCCATTTTAAGATTATATTTGTCTTTCTTCATAGAAAGACGATGTTTCAAAGATTTCTATAAAACACCATTCTACAGAACCTAATGCTTTAAAAAATATATCAGAAACTTGAAAAAGTTGGTCATCTAACCAAAATTCTTCATGATAATTAGCAAATTTAAAAAATAAAATCCTTGATCACAGAATGTTAAAAGGTAAAATTTTACAATGGTATTTTCATGACATGACAGAGTTTATTTGCCCTGGTGCTTTGTAAAATAACCCTAGAAAGTAGTAGAAAGAACACTACTATTCAGGAAAGCACCTTACCATTGATTAATTCTAATAGGTCATTCCATTTTGGGGGCTTTTTAATTTGCTTTTTTTCATTTTTCTATAATTTTGTTTATGTTAGAAAATTGTACTGAAAGTTATTTTAAACTTACATAAAATAGTATTCTTCCTAAAGGTATGTGTAAATGTGTAAAAATTAACTTTATTTTCTTGAGAAAAGATTTTCATATTTCCTTCATTTAGTAGTTTTACACATATTTTATACATTGTATAAATTTTTTTGGTGTATCATTATATTTGTATATTATATATAGTCGATACATTATGTTATATTACTCCTTTGGTATGTTTAATATACATTAATATTTTCAAAGCTAACTTATTGAAACTCTTTTGGCCAAGGAGGTCTCATAAACCTCCCAAAAGCGCATAAACTTCTGTCTTTGGAGAGAATAAATTGCAAAATGTATATGAACAGAAAACAAATTTTCATCTTGAAAAAATTTATTTTTGTATTTTTAAAATCAGTGTTACCATATGTATTAAAAACCACTGATATCAAGTAGGAAGAATGGTTTATATAACTTATTTAAGTTATGTTTTAAACATTGGAATTTATATTCTCTAATATTAATTACAGAAAATGAGAAATGAGTGTAGGATTAGGAAAATATGGCCTTTAATTCTGCATGTGTTGTGGGCATTTTTCAAAATTCAGTTATTTAAATAATTCTATTTTTTCTTGGTAACTTCCCTTTTATTTATTTTGGGTTTAGTGGTATAGTTTCTTTTAGGCTTATAAGACTGAAGCTTAGTTTTAATGCTCTGCAAATCTACCGCATTTTAAAAAAATTAATCTTGAAAATAACTTCCTGCTACATTATTACAAAGCACCTGCATATCATAAGCAACATTATTTTTTTTTAAATATAGATAACTTTCTGCCACTCAACATTTCTTTTCCATCTGTAATACTCCTAATTAATATAAATGTGAGCTTAAGGCAGAAAAATAATATGCAGGGCACTATGAAAATCAGAATCTACAGGCCCTTTCTAAATCAGGTTCACATTAAAGATTAATGTAATTTGAACTCTGTATTTGGGCACTCTTTAGTAAAGCATGTCTTAAATTAGTACAGAAATGTCTCAAGTGACATTTCAATTTGATTTGGAAATGTGTGTGTCAATCAGAACATTATTTAATTTGAGGGGAAAAAGACCAAGAGCAGAAGTAAAGGTATACATTGGTCTCACGTAGTATTTGAAAGTCCGCATTTTGACACACTGAATATAAAATCTAGATTTGAAAACAGAAAAACGACATAATTTTGAGCTTCTCAAAGTCTGTTTTTCCCACCTCACTATTTCCTCTGGATAACAGTTGTTGATGCTGTTGATGTATTCTTGAAGGAGAGATCCAGGTTCTGCTTTTATCTCCTGAAGCTTTTTAAGTCCACCACTTGTTACAAAAAGTCCTCGAGCTTTGCTATCACGTGGCAGCACCTTGAAAAATGAAGCACATGAAAATGTCAGTTTTCTTTTTCCAAGTTTGAGTATTACTACTGAAAAGCAACAATATATCTCAGGGACCGTGAAAGAGAATTTATGTCCAATATACCTGTAACATAATGAGCCTCAATTTGCTGATGAGTGGAAGTAAAATGCAGTCTTTTTGGAAATGTATGACCTTTTTCTGTTGTGGAGATGGAACATAGGCAATGAACAAAAGCAAAGGCAATGGAGAGCCACTCCTATACATAAAATGTAAAGTGGTGTCCCTCTTTGCTGGTACCCATTGAAAATCATCCCCCACTTACAAAATTAAAGGCAAACTCCTTAGCAAGGCCCAGACAGCTTTCTGTGACCCAGCAACTTAGTACTAAGTGCTTCTCCAGCTTCTTTTCCACCGAACTCTCTCCCAAAGGGTACATGCCAGGCCATTTCTTGCCTTTGCCCATGCTGTTGCCATTCCTGGACTGCCCTTTTACCTCCCCACACCTGCTTGGCTAACTCTTGCTCATCTTTTAAGATTTAGCTGAGGTGTTACTTCCTTTAAGAAACTTATCTGAGTCGCCCCTACTCTGTTATGCCAGGATGAGTTAGGTACTTTTCTTCTCTCATAGCATTCTGTTAAACCACA